CCAACCAGTCCATCCTAAAGGAGATCAGTCCTGGGTGTTCATTGGAAGGACTGATGTTGAAGCTGAAACTCCAATACTTTGGCCACCTCATGCAAAGAGTTGACTCATTGGAAAAGACTCTGATGTTAGGAGGGATTGGGGGCAGGAGGAGAAGGGGATGACAGAGGATGAGATGGCTGGATGGCATCACCGACTCAATGGACATGAGTTTGAGTAAACTCTGGGAGTTTGTGATGGACAGGGAGGCCTGGCGTGCTGCGATTCACGGGGTCACAAAGAGTCGGACACAACTGAGCAACTGAACTGAACTGAACTGAAATAGAGTGATATGTAATTTTACTATTAGACAATATATTATCATAAGATATCAACTCTTCCTCCCACAAATGACCTATACCTATAATGTAATCAATCAAAACTACTTAATGGCTTTTTGAAAGCTAACTAATTATAAATGTATTTGGAAATGCAAAAGGCATGAGACAGGACATTTTTTAGTTCTAAGGAAAATGTTGGAAGACTTGGTCTACCAGATACAAGGTTATAAGAATCAAGACATGATGGTAATAGCACAAAAAAGTAGTAACACAGACACCAAGGATATAAAACACAAAGCCCAGAAACAGACTCACACATATATGCAAACCTGATTTATAACAAAGGTGTCAGGCAAATGACTGTCTTCTCAATAGATGATGCTGGGATATATAAATAACCCAATCGAAAAAGTAACCCCCTATACTTCCTATCAGATACAAAAATAAATTCCATGTACACTGTAGTTCTAAATGTAAAAAGCAAGATTATAAGGTTTCTGAAAGATAATATAGGAGAATATCTTCAGAATATTTGATGGTCTTTGGGATAGGGAAATAACTTTTTTATATAGGTCAGAAAAGATACTAAAAAATAAAGGGAAAACACTGGTAAATTGGACCACATTAAAATTAAGAAATTCTAATCAAGAAAGAAAGAGAAAAAAGAAACCTATCAAGAGAGTTCCAAGAAAAACCACAAAAAAGTAGGAAAATATGTTCCAACAGAGGTAACCAATAATGGGCTTATACTCATATTAAGAGCTTTAAAAAAACATTGTCAGATAATAAAAAAAATAAGTTGGACATTTGAACAGGCATGTCACAAAAAAGGACATCAAATGGCAGATACATGAGAAGATATTCAATCACATGAGAAATCAGAGAAATGAAAATAAAAATCACAATGAGAACACTCTAGGACCACCAGAAAAACAGAATATCAAGTGTTGGTAAGGATACGGAGCAATGGTATCACTCATGCTGCTGACAGAAGTGTCAACTAATAAAAAAATCACCTTGGAAAAGTTTGCCCTTTTTTACTCAAATTGAGCATATACATACACTGTGACCAATAATGATACTCCAAGGTACATACCCAACATAAATGTGTACAATGCACACCAACAGACATATAAAAGAATGCTCACAGCAGCAATAATCACAATATCCCCAAACGGGAAAAATACAAGTATCTGTCAGCAATACATAAATACGTAATTCTGTTATATTCATACAGTAGATCTATCAATGAAAATGAATAAACTTCTAACACATGCAACTAAAAAAATATATGAATCTATCAAATATAATACTGAAAAATAGCCACACAAGAAAGAATAAGTACTATGTGATTCAATTTATGTAATATTTTAAAAACCAGGCAAAAATAAATTTGAATGTTTGGGGATCATGCTTAGAGATCAATTTTCATAAAAGTCAAGCTAGTGTTTAGCTTTAAGAGAATGAGAGGTGATGATTGGGAGTGGGCATGAAGAGGGCTTGTGGGACATGGTAATGTTAGACATCTTACAGGGACAATACATGGTTGTTCATTTGGAGATAAATCCTAAAGCTGTACATTTTTGTTTTGCATACTTTTCTGAATTTATGTTAAATTGTGTCATCAGAAATATCAAAGGATGGCATGACCAGCTAATGTACATATTATTGAATGCTGATCTGAGATGAGGAAGGAAGATGAAGACTGATATGTGGAGGTTATTAATGACCTTGAAAAGAAATGGTTTAGGGGAATATGGGGGGAGAAGCTCAAATAAACTATGTTGAAGAGAGAATGGGCCGTGAGGAACAGAGGCGTGAGTATAGACAACTGCTTCAAAAGCCTTTGGTATGAAGGGGAGTAGCTGGGTGATAGTTCAAAGGGAATGTAAGATGAAGAGAATATATTGTGTTTACTTGCTTTAAGACGGGAGCTATTAAGCACATATTTTGCTAAAAAGCCAGTTAAGAGGGATATAAGGTATAAGAGCAAGAGGAGATACGTGCAAGAGTGAAATCTTTGAAAGAAGGGAGGAAGACTTGGAACATAAAGCACACAGAAGCAGAGACTGACCTTTGACACAAACAGGATAAACAAGTGAATCTATAACAGTTATAACACTGAGAGAAGACGTAAGAGGGAAACTAATTCTAATGTGGGAAAAGGAGGAATGGAAGCATGTAATTAGGGAAGGTAGGATGGGAGGGGACATTTGAACTAAGTTTGGTAGGTAAACATTTCAATAGGTAGAGGATAAGAAGGAAGCATTTTAGGCAGGGATTATTACATAAGCCAAAGTCAATTCTTCAAAGAGAAATGGAACTGGGAAATAAGCTTATGAAGTAGTGAGAAGTGAGTGGTGTGTGTGCTTATAGCCAATACTTGTGAGAATGACAGAAGAATGAGAAGTGAGTCTGGAAATGTAGTTTGAAGAAAATAGCAGATGGCTTGGGAGATTGGTCTTAATCCTACGGGTATTAAGTAGCTATCATAGCTTATTCAGTTGAGAAAAAAACCATACAATTTACTTAGTCTTTCTGATTTTTTTTTAAAAGAAAGGAACTCTTTCCTAAATACTAGAAAAAAGCTTGGATTAGAGAATGAGAAGGAGCAAGGAAATTTGGGCTGGAAAGAGCCTTTAGAAAAATTTAACAACAAAACCTGTGGATAATAATGAGAGTGGAACTATGATTCATTATATCTTCCCCTGGAACATTCCATTTTTGGTTCCATCATTCCATTATTTTCACCCAGATCAAAGGATTTAAAAGTATCATTTGATCTTAAAATATAATTATTTTAGACTCCTCGGGAAATTGGGACATTCAGAAGCATCTATGTATATGGGGAGTTTAGAAAGTCACAAACATGCCCAGGGAAAATGCTTTCTCAGAAAAGTCCTAAGAAGACCTGAAGCTTTCACTTCAGGCTGATCTCTAGGCCCAGAGCAGGCCTAACTGTAAGCTAAAGTCCAGCACAGTCAAAGTGCAAAGACTTGGAGAGCTGGTTGTTCTATTTTTGGGGGGCTTCTTGGCTTTCTTGTTGTCGTTTGTTTCAGCTGCTGGCAGTCAAGGAAATCTCTCAAACATCAGCTGAATATGAGCTAATGGAACAGAGATCTCAGTGATCACACACAACAAGGAATAGTTTTTACAGAAATAGTTTGGAAAATTCTTTAAAGGACTATGACAGCCTTCAACAATAAAAAAGACATCAAACCTTAAAAAAAATAGGGTATCTGATTTCCAGAGTTATCACATATAACAGTTTAATGCCCAGTTTTCAACAACAAAAAATCAGTAGGCATACAAAGAAAGAGGAAAACATGGCTCACTCAATTCAACAGAATAAACTGACAGGAACCATGCCTATGAAACTGCAGACATCAGACTTACTAGACGAAAACTTTAAAATGACTGCCTAAGAACACTCAGAATGTTAAGAGAAAATACGAACAAAGAACTAAAGGAAGTCAGGAAAACAAATTATAGAAAAGAACCAAACAAATTCTGGAGCTGAAAACAGCAAAAACTGAAATAAAAAATTCACTAAAGAGATTTTAGAGATTTGGGCAGCGGAAAAAAGAATCTGAAAATCTGAAGATGGAACAGTTGAAATAATTGAGTCTGAGAAGCAGGAAAAAAAATGAAGAATTACCAAATGATCCAACAATTGCTTTCTGATTATATTTGAAAGTAGGACCTCAAACAGATATTTGTGCATCAGTGTTCATAGCAGCCTTACCCACAACAGCCAATAGGTTGAAACTCCCCCAAAATCCATTAAGAGATAAAAGGAAAAACAAAGTGTTGCATATATGTACAATGGAACATTATTCACCCTTATAAAGATATAAAATTATGATACACATTACAATATGGATGAAACTTGAAAACTGTATGCTCAATGAAATAAGCCAGACAAAATGAGAAATACTTATGTGAAGTATCTAGAATAGACAAACTTATATAAAGACATAAAGCAGAAAATGTTACCAAAGGTTGTGGGAAGAGGGGAATGGAAGTTATTATTTAATTGGTAGAGTTTTTGTTTGGGATGGTGAAAATGTTCTGGAAATGAGTACTGTTTATGGTTGAACAACACTGTGAATGTACTTAGTGTAAATAATTGTACACTTAAAATTTTAAATGGTTAAAATAGCAAATTTTGTGTTATATATATTCACCACAATAAAAAAGTACCAAAAATGTAGATGCCTGTGAAAAAGTACCCAGTACTCACCAGTTCTAGCTTCCATTTCTCAGCCTCACCAGCAGAAGCCACTTTGACAGTATTGGCATTGCCACATGAAAATGATCTCTTTGCAGCTTCATCCACCCTATAGTCGTCACCTGTTGTAATCCAAGAATTCTGCATGTTTCCCTAAAATAAAATGTGAAAGCACTTGCAGTTGACTTTTAACTTCTAAATCAATATACATACTTTACAAATGGAATACTGATTATCTGTGATGAAAGGAATAAGGAAAACAGCAGATGCTTCTAGATACAAATCAACAATTATTTTGCATTTTTAAGCCGTTAGGGGCATATTCCAAACCCGTGTTACAAAGTTGAATTCCTACAGGCAATAACGTAAATGAGTGAAGAGGGCTCTATATCAGTGTATTGAATAAATGAAATTGTCTCTTACCTCTTTGGAGACATATACTCTTGGAACACATAAATCTCTCTTGGTTTGTTTTCTATTTTCCACATTTCATAAAGCTATGACTAATAATAATAATTACTACATAAGATGTTTACTATGTGCCAGACACTGTTTTATGTCCTCCACATATATTAACTTAGTTAATAATTACAATAATTCTGTGGGACAAGTTTCATTGTTATCTCCATTTTATAGATGAGGAAACTGAGTTACGGAGAGTAACTGCTAAAAGTCACAGAGGTAGAAAGTGACTAATAAGTGGCAGAGCTAGGATCTGAACCCTAGCAATCTAGCTCCAGAGTCCTAAACCACTATGCTCTTCTGCCTTTTCAGAAGATTATTTATCTTCAACAGTGCATGGTGATAAACAGAACTGACATGCAGCTTGCCTGTCAAGGATCCAAAAAGTAGTCATAGCGACCAGGACAGAGCAAGCCCAGAAAGAAGTCACTATTCAGTTCCAGTCAATTGCTGCCGTGTGTGAATGCCATCTCATATTACCCCCAAAAATCTTTAGATTTTCAAAAAGATGAGGCAGATATCTGGCTCTTCAATTGAAACACTGTTAAATACTGAGTCAGTTTTTCAAATAGACAAAACATGTCTAGAGACTGAATTTGGTGTACCCACTGTCAATTGGCAAACTTTGGCATTCTCTCAGCATTCAGTACAATAAGCAGCTCAAAATCTGGGTGATTCATGTGTGAATCCAGAACTAAAATATTTATTTAATTTATCCAACAAGTAATTAATGAACTCTTATTAAGGGCCAAGGGACACAGTAGTATTCATAAGCAAGGATATGTCCCCAAACACAGAACTATACTGTGGTGTCATATCATGTTAGAATGTGGTAAACTGTATTCATTCAAAGTAGTATTCTGAGATTCTATTCCATATTCTTTGGGAAGTTCAAAGAACTTGTATAATACTATGTTCAGGCATTCTGCTAAAAGCTTGGTGGCCAGTGGTGGGTGGTAAAAATGAGCAAGACCAATCTTAACCTTGAGGAGTTTATAGGCTAACAAAGAAGAGAAAAACCTAAGCAGATAATTTCAACTTAATAAAGCCTTAAGTGTGCATGTCAGGACAAGGCCAGACAGAAGAGGTATACTAAGAGCAATTGGAGATTCAAGGAAAGTTTCTGGAGAAGTTTTGACACTGGTGTGATATCTTGAAGGATGAAAAAAATAAGTTAGATGCCAAGAAGTGAGAACACCATGAGAAAACTCACAGAAATGAGAAATAGCATGGTGCTTCCCAGAGGCTTTTAGGAAATTCAGTATTATTAAAGGTTGACATACAAGGCAATAATGTCAGAAGATGAAAGTAGAACTGTTTATGATAGCCAAAGCATGGAAACAACCTAAACGTCCATTTACAGATGAATAAATAAAGATGTGGTACACATACACAATGGAATACTACTCAGTCATGAAAAATGAAATAATGCCATTTGCAGCAACATGGATGCAACTAGAGATTATCATACTAAGTGAAGTAGGTCAGAAAGAGAAAGACAAATACCATTTGATATCACTTATCATGTGCCATATTTGTACCTAAAATATGGCACAAATTAATCTACATACAAAACAGAAACAAGCTCATAGACATAGAGAACAGATTTGCAGTTGGCAAGGGATAGGGGAGAAGAGAGAAGGATAGACTGGGAGCTTGCTGTTGGTAGATGCAAGCTATTACATTTAGAATTGATAAACAAGAAGGTCTTAATGTAGAACACAGAGAACTATTTGATATATTCAATATCTTGTGATAAACCATAAGGGAAAAGAGTATAAAAAAGAACGCAAATATGTGTATAACAGCTATTTTGTGGTACAGCAGAGATTGGCACAGCATTATAAATCAGTTATGAAAGTGCATGTGTTAGTTGCACAGTCGTGTCCAATTCTATACAACCCCATGGACTGTAGCCTGCCAGCCTCCTCTGTCTATGGAATTCTCCAGGCAGGAATACTGGAGTGGGTAGCCATTCCCTTCTTCAGGGGATCTTCCTGACCTAGGAATGGAACCCAGATCTCCCACATTGCAGGCAGATTCTTTACTGTCTGAGCCACCAGGAAAAATGAAAAAAAAAAAAAAAAAGAAGAAGAAGCCAGAGAATCAGAGAATTAAATAAGGATCTGGAAAGTAAAGTATGCCATGCTAATAAGCTTGAACTTGATTCTTTAAGTAGGGAAAAATCTTCCAAGATTTAATTGTATTAAAAATAGTCTTGCAGAGCAATGAAGGAAAGTGGTACAAATTTCCTATGGAGAAATTGGAGGATGTATGTAGACTATAGATCACTGATTTATGATATCAAGTAATATTATTTGTAAATAAGTGCTAGTCTAATTGACATGTTCTTTCACAGATAGCTTTCAAAAAACTTGAATGATATTTGATCAAGATATAAAAAGTCAAACTACATTTACATCCCTGAAGATCACTGAAGACCTCAAGTTTCTTAATTGAGGGGAGGGGTTGAAATGGAAGGGATGAAGAGACATGGAAAGAAATAGCTCAGAAATTTTCTACTTAAAAAAAAATTCTAATAAAAAGAGTATTTCAATATAATTTTTGAATTTGTAAGAAAAGCCCCTCAAGAAGGAATATGATAAAAAAATGAAGATGCAAATGAAATATTCTTTGAATGGTTTTAGTTATTTAAAAATAATCTGCTTGCCTCTTCAACTGTTAAGTCAAAAACTAAGCTAAAAGCTAAAAGTCATGTAGGCTACCATCAAAGTCCCAGTCCATGGCAAAGATGGTTTGGTTTAATACTGATAAGCTATTCCTAATCTAGTCAGAAAGGCAGTATTATTCAAGGCGAGGGAGATGGATCAGGGGAGTCAGACAGTGCTGTGTTTGAGTTCTAGCTTTGTAGGTTACTTAACTGATGTATACCTTAATTTAATCATCTGAAAGTAGATGTAACAACACCTGCCTTATGCGGCTATCATAAGACTGAAATGATATGATGTAAACAAAGTATTTGATACAGTACCTGGCACATCATAACCATGCAGTTATCAATAAATATTAATTATCACTATATACATATTTCAATTGTTTTTCCAAAGAAGGCATTAAGAAACACTGAAAATATATATTCAAATCTGCCAATAGCTTAGGCAAGATTTACCATCAACATGGTAATAGGCTCATTAAAAAGAGTTTAGGAAAAAAAGAAGATAATTTCTCTCAATCTGTTTATATTTAAGATATTCTAAGTAGCTTTATTTATATCAAAACTCTCAATACAACACTATTCATAGGTTGCCAAAATGCCTCAATTCACCTCCACAAGTAGAAAGTGGGGAAAATAATTTTGTAACAACAAAATAAAACAGAAGACTAACATTAAAATAGGTATCAAGTTCACCCGACACATATGCAACAATCATTTCAATATCTGCATTATGTTTTAGCTCATGTGAATTTTTTTTTTTTATAAGTTTTCTACAACTCTATCCTTTCTATAATCTGTGTATCTGGAGTTTTCTTAAGCAAGTTTCCTTTGTTCATAAGGCAAAGCATATGTGCTTTTACCATCATTTCCTTCCCCTTTTGCATTACTCACTTCTCTAGCCCTCTGATGCACTTGTCTGCCTTATTTCCTTTCTCATTTCACTTCCCCATCTTCCACTACTTTGCACTATATAAATATCAAAGACTATGAATAACTGAGTCACTGTCCACTGCATATTTGGAAGAAAATCAAAAGAATATATTATTTAAAAAATGAGCTTACTTATAAGTACTTTTTAATGAATCATTTTCAAATTGACCCAAAATAATAGCAACTAAGGCAAAATTTTTAAACACTAATATTAATAATACAATACTATAAATATTCAGAAAAAGTTATATGATGACTAAAATAGCTGATCACAAAGTGATGTGTAATTGTAGAAAAATAAACTAAAATGCTAATCAGCTCACATTATTATTCAGAGTTAACACATCCAGATACAATAGCAAATTCTAACACATAGAACCGCTGGATTACAAATGAAACAACAGGTCAGGTTAAGAAAAAAACTTCAAAAATTAGAGGACACCTAAATAAAACATTAAAACAGTTGTTTTTTTTCCTAAACAGAACTAATAACGACTAAAGCAAAAGCACCAAAATACACTGCAAAGTAAAGCTGAAACAGGCAAGTACCAAAACTTTCCCATGAAAAATTGAGTTTTGTCTCAAAAAGCAGAACAACTGTTATCAACTACATCCCACAGCAAAAGAGTAAAAAATATTTTGAAGGCAAAAGTATCTCTGACAACTCATAAAGAGAAATTAAATTTAAACATTATTTAAATATCATCATAAAAATTTTATGTGACAGAATTATAGAGATCACATAATTCTCTGTTCCTCAAAATGTATTCCACTGATAGATTCACTTTGGCAACTTGCTCAAACACTAACCCAGACCAACTCTCAGGGGATAAAGCCCAGGATCTGCACTGTCAGCAGGCATCCCAAACCCCATTCACATTAAAGAGTAAGGACTGCTAATATTGGTGAATTTCTCAAATTGCCAATAAATAAACAGAGGACTTACAAGGTGAAGCCAAGCCTGAAAGTCCTATAAAATTACTTGCCAGACATACAGCTTGTTAGGGTCAATGGGAAGATTAACATTTTGAATCTTGGACACACATGTCAGTGTTCTTTCTGCTACCCCATGCTAATTAGACTTATTGGAACTCAAAGTTCAAAGACGATTTAGAGAAATACAACAGAAATCTAAGCTACAGTTCTGAACAGTTGCTGGGTTTAACGGAGTCCAGCCCTGTTAACATACTTCCTATATGACATACTTCCTGCTTTCAGACTTGCTCTTTCGTATGGAGAAAACACAAATGGTAATGCTCAGAGAGGAAACTGGCATGGCTGCTAGGCACCACTGCATCATTTAATTTGAGGAGTCATACCACCACAGCGATTTTTAATTTCTGCAGCCCCAAGTAAATACCAGCACAGTACTTCTGCCAAACTTTAAGAAAAAAACTGAAGCAGTTAAGAAGGCTGAGGGAGAGGGTAGGAGGCAACATTCGGACTATATATATTTTAGTTTAATGGTTTAAATAAATGCTCACAGATTCATCCAGAAGTGTTTGTTCCCTCATTTCTTCTTGTCCTCGAGATTTCAGCTCTTGTTGGAGCCTTTCATTTTCAAGCACAACTACTTGTACCCTATTTTTCATTCCAGACAGTTCCTCCTATAAAAAGCAGAAACAAATACCAAATACATTAAGCATTTTTTCTTGCCTCTTTTTTTTCTTTTTATGAAATGCCACTTGCAGACTGCATACATTAAGCAATCTTAAGTAGTGCTTTTCTTTTTCTTTATTTTGAAACTTTGTGTCTTTTTTTTTTCATTTATTTTTATTAGTTGGAGGCTAATTACTTTACAATATTGTGTAGTGCTTTTCTTTGTTGATTACTAGATGATCCAACATGATATGAAGCATGGAAGACTGATGCTCTCTATCCATTTTCTGAAATATTATAATTATATCTCGACAAACAAGAAACTCAAGCATTAGCTAACAAACAGAAGGCTGGGGGAAGACAGTAGACAGCCTGCTAATGGCACCACAGGACTGTGTGGTTTCTGACAATTTTATTTTACAGACTTATATAAATTCTTTAATTAAAGGGTTTCTCTAAAAGACTTCTTTTTTTTTTTTTTTTTTCTAAAAGACTTCTAAACATGATGTAGCTACACTCCTAAACAAATAAGGAAAGATATATTATTATTTATGCTCAAATACCAATAACATTGAAAACTGACAGAGGGCTACATAGATAATAAAGGACACTGAGACAGAAAGGTGAGGAAAGTTACAGTGATTATCTATGAACGGGTAGCCAGATGGAAGGAAACTATGAGTGAAAAAAGCTTGGTGGGTAGTTCTTAAAGAGTGTTTCCTTGGCTGTGCAGGGAGTAATATAAAGAATTATAGGTATATAACAATTTGTATAGCTATTAAGTAGCATCTCATCCTGAAAAAATGTAAAAAATACTGATATATTGAGGGTATAACACTTAATCTTCATTACCATTATAATAAAAAACTATTGCACAGCATATAAAAATTCCATTCCATTTATCTTTTCAGAAAAAAAATTCAAAGCTGTAATTGAAAACCATAATTAAACAAATATTGTAGACTTCCAATTTTTGGTCTGACATATAAGAAACTTGGAAGACATCACTCCCATCTTCATAACCAGAAAAAGAGCTGAACAAGCTTAAAAATAAACTACTCTTCTTAGATCCATCAGAGAATTAAGGTCACAGGGAAAACTATTATCCCTCAGAATGGAAAGACAGACAAGCACTTCTGAGAACCACAACCTAGCAGAGCAGAAACTTCTGGAGGAGCCAGTGGTAGGGTAGAAAAATATAAAAATAATTGATGAAATGCTGGAAGCTTAGTATAGGCCAGTTTGAGTTAAAAACCCCAGAGGAATCCAGTCTCTGGAGGGGAAGGTGTCTCCTACACTTTTATGAGCTTTATCTCCAAGACATGAGCAGATTCTAGTAGCAAAGGCTAGAGGAAACCCCACTCCTGTCTCCTCCAGTAGGAGAGGAAAAGTAACCCAAAAGCATTCTGTTCTTTTTAACCAGGACTGCCTCAAGAGAAACTATTTTACCAGAGCCTGAGAAACTGGTTTTTGATTTTTTTCCCCAGAACCTAAGTGACCTGGGGGAAGAGAGGGGAAACCCAACTCCAACTTCCTAGCCTTCTCATCCCACTTAAGGGGAGAGGGAGACTGAGAAACACTTGTGAAGGATATAGCCAAGGGCACAGGGTCACTAAAAGACTGAGACATGATCATAGGATTACAAAATACTCCCCCTACTCCCATACCCTACCACCACATCGAAAGTACTCTTGTATCATAACAAGGGAATACACTAAAATAACTGCACATCTCAGTATATACTTAAGAAATCTTGAGGGAAACCCAAAGACAACAGTGGAGACAAAACCAGAACACTAGAGGAAATTTTAGCCTCTGACACATATAGTAGCAGCAAATAATAAACACAGTCTAAGTTCTACAACAAACAAAAAACCTTACACTAAATGTATATTTCCCTCAGTTCCTTTTATTCAATCCATCATGTCCAGAATTCAACAAAAAATTAGAAGGCATACTAAAAGACTTAAAACACAGTTGCAGGAGACTAAGTAAACACAGAACCAGACTTAGATATAGCAAAGATGTTGGAATTATCAGATGGAGAGTTTAAAATAATTATGATTAGCATGCTAAAGGGTCAAATGGGGAAAAGTGGTCCACATGCAAGAACAGATGGCTAATATAAACAGAGATGGAAACTAAGATGAAAAGCAAAATGCTGGAAATCAAAAACACTACAGAGGAAATGAAGATTGCTTTTGAAGGGGTCATTAGTAGACTGGACACATACAAAGAATTAAGCTTGAATAAGTGTTAACAGAAGCTTCTCTAACTGAAATGCAAAGAAGAAAAAGAATGATACTGACAGAACAGAATACCCAAGAACTGTGGAACAATAATAAAGGTGAATAAAGAGAGAAAGGAGGAGAAGAAATATTTAAATGAATAATGATTGAGAATTGCCCCAAATTAATTATAAGTGCCAAACCGCAGATCCAAGAAGCTCAGAGACTGGGCAAGACAAAACTGAAAAATCAACACTGAGGTATATCACATTGAAACTGCAGAAAATCAAAGACAAAGAGAAAAAAGAAAAAATTTAAAGATGTCAAAGGGAAAGACCTTACCTGTAGAGAAGCAATAATAAGAATTACATGAGGTACTCTTTAGAAATCATGCAGGCATGGACAAAGTATAATGGAATATTTAAAGTTCTGAATGAAAAGAGCCCCAACAAGCTAGAATTCTGTAGTCAGTGATACCAACCTTCAAAAGTTAGGGAAAAACAAAGACTTTTTCAGATAACCAAAATTAGAATATCTGTCTCTGGTAGACCTGCCTTGCAAGAAATGTTAAAAGGAAGTTCTTCAAGAAGTAGGAAATTTATTTAGGTTATAAACTCAGATCTACATAAAGAAAGAAAAAGCAGTCCAAGAAGGCATATAGAGATAAGTATAATCTTCTATTTTTCTTATGTTAGCTGGTATAACAGATAACAATTTGTTCAGTATCATATTAGCAATAGTGTATATAGATCCAACCTGTCCATCCTAAAGGAAATCAGTCCTGAATATGCATTGGAAGGACTGATGCTGAAGCTGAAACTCCAATACTTTGGCCACCTGATGCGAAGAGCTGACTCATTTGAAAAGACCCTGATGCTGGGAAAGATTGAAGGCAGGAGGAGAAGGGGATGACAGAGGATGAGATGGTTGGATGGCATCACAACTCAATGGACATGAGTTTGAGTAAACTCCAGGAGTTGGTGATGGACAGGGAGGCCTGGCGTGCTGCAGTCCATGGGGTCACAAAAAGTCAGACATGACTGAGTGACTGAACTGAACTGATATAGTGATAATAGCTTGTGGGTAACTGAAATGAATGACAGAAATGCATAAGGGTCAGGAGGAAGGAACTGGGACCACTCTGTTAAAAGGAATTTTCCCAACCCCTGAAGTGTTTATTGAAAACACACTTAGATTAGTGGTAAAGGTAACTGCAAACTCAAGGACAACCACTTATAAGTTTTTTTTTAAAAAAAAAAGAATTTCAATTGATATGCTAAGAGAGGAGAAAATTGCAATCATATAACATGCTAACTCAAAACCAGAGATGGTACCAAAAAAAACCAGAAAGAACAAAGGCAATGAATAGAAAACAGTAAAAAATATGGCAGGTATTATAGATAGCCAACTGTATCAATAATCACTTTAAACATCCATGCTCTGACTATATCAATTAAAAGACAGATTGCCAGAGTAAATAAAAGACAAGACCCAAGTACACACTGTCTACAAGAAGCCTTCTTTAAATCTAAAGATACAGATACTTTAAAAGTAAAGTAATGGAGAAAGATATACCATGCCAATATAAATCAAAAGAAAGGTAGAGAAAAAGCAATACCTGAGCATTTGCATTTTTTTCCTCCAGAGCTCCAGGTACGTTTCTAATGAGCAATCATGTTAAAAACAACTGGACTATATGATGTTCTTTTACTTTTAACTAGTTTCACTTTTTCTATTTCATATTCAGTGCTCATTTCATTTAGTATATGTTCTCCAGTTTCTTCATCTTTTTTTTATGTTCTTTCTCAGCCTTTATCAAGTGTAGCAGAAAAGTTTTTGCATACATATATATAAATATGTGTAATATATAATTTTAGAAAGCTTATGAATTTATGCATAACTAAAAAATTATGACAGTTTTATTCCACTTGTTTGATTTACTATGAATAGAATGCTAGATTTCTAATTAAATAAATAGATATGCAATAAGCAACAAATGTTTACTGTATAGCACAGGGAACTATAGTCAATATCTTGTAATAATCTATGATGGAAAATAATTTCAAAAATAATATATGTGCATTTGTATAGCTGAATTACCTTGCAATGTACCTGAAGCACTATAAGTCAACCATACTTCAATAAAATATAGATATTTTTAAAAAGAAAAACATAAGAACAATAAAAAAATAAAGCTGGAGTAGCTATATTAATTTCAGGCTTCATAGTAAGGAAAAAAATATCAGGGATAATAAAGAGGCATGACATATTGATAAAAAGTTCAATTTTCCAAGAAGACATAATAATCCTAATGTATATGTGCCTAACAACAGAGCATTAAAATATATGAAGTAAAAACTGATAGAACTGCAAGGACAAATAGATGTATTTACTATTTCAGTTAGAGATTGCAACATTCCTCTATCAGTCATTGACTGATCTGACAGACTGGCAAAATATCAGTATGCACATAGTTGAACTGAATACCACCATTAATCAGTTGGGTCTAATTGACATTTATATACTACTTCATCCAACAACAACAAAATATACACTCTTCTCAAGCTAACACATAACATTCACCAAAACATACCCTATTCTATGGTCTAAAACCATATATTAACAAATTAAAAAGAATGGAAATCACAAAAAGTATGTTCAGACCACAATGGAATTAAACTAGAAATAAATAACAGAAAGATAGCTGGAACACTCCCAATATATGTGGTGATTAAATAATACTCTTCTAAATATATACAGGTCAAGGATAGGCTTCAAGA